GCTGCTGTGGCGCCGCCGCCGGCGGCTGCTGGGGCTCGGCGCTGGCGGGGATGCCAGTCATGAGGTACTCGACGGCGCGGTCGGGGTTGTTGAAGGCAGCGCGCATCGCCTTCTGCACCTGGTCACGCTCGAAGCCCATCTCGACCATGTTCTGCATCGCCGATTCGAGCTGCGATCCGGAGATGAAGGAGCTCGACGAGCCGGGTGCGCCAGGCTCCTGAGCCGGAGCGGCAGCAGCAGCCGGGGCAGCGGTCGAGGAGGCTTCCGTCGAAGCGGGAGCGGACGTTTCAGAGGCGGCGGCGGCAGTAGCGGGCTTGTCCTCCGCCATCGGGGTCGGAGCAGAGGTCTCCTTGGCCGGAGCAGCCTCCTCCTTGGCGGGCGCAGCCGAGGTGGAAGCGGCGGCAGCAGCAGCAGGCTTGGGGGCCTTGGGCTAAGGGGGACGAGCGGGGCATTGCCGTGGAGATGGGAGGAGGAGCGAAGCGTCAGTCATCCTGAGCCACGGCCACGGGCTCGGCGCAACGGCGCCATGCATGCGGCGCTCGTGAGTGCGGCCACTCACCTTGGAGACCATGACGACGAGGAAGTCCTTTTCCTTGATGTTGCAGTCCTGGACGGTCTTGTCGTCGGTGAGGATCTTGCCCGAGAAGATGATCTTCTGCTGCTCGGGAGCGTGTCCCTGGGCATCCTTGATCTTGTTCTTGATGGTGGCAATCTGTGGCGGCGAAGAGCGGGGCGGTGGAGGCGGGGCGAGGATATGGTCAGCCAAGGAGGACGGCAGACGGATGGACGGCGGTGCATTGCTGCACGCAAGCAGCAGCAGAGGCAGCGAAGGGGCGCTCACGGTGTCGGTGGGTTCGGCCTCGAGGTGGAAGTTGCCACCGGCGAGCGACTTGATCATGATCTTCATCTTGGCTGCTCTTCTTTTCCCTCTGGCGCGAGGAAGACGGTGCGGCAAAAGAGGTGGGGCTGTTGGGGATGGGTTCGTGAGAGGCGGTGCGAGGTCGCCAGTTCGTATATGCAGAACGAAGGAATGCAAGAGGGGAGAGTCTGAAGCGGGCCGGCTGCAGTGGTTGCGGCGGCGGTGGCTACAGCGGTGGTGATGGTAGTGGTGGTGGTGGTGGTGGTGGAAAGTGGTGAAGATGGTTTTCGTCGGAAAGTGGCAATCCAGAACGACGGGCGAAAAGGGGGGGGACGCGCACCCGGCCTGCCGCGGGCGCAGCGGGCACAGAGAGACACACGGCCCAGCGGCTGTCTGGCCGGCCTAGCCCTGCCTGGCGCAGTAGTTAGTCGTGGCCCAGCTCGCCGCCCATCAGCCAACAGAGACAGGCCTGGCCAGCCCAGCCCAGCCCAGCCTGGGCTCGAGCCCAGCTCTCAAAAAAGCTTCCCAAGTGGAGCAGAGGTTGAGAGCCGCCGCCGCATAGCCAGGCCCGCCTGCGTCGCGCCACGCCAGCGCCAAGCGCGTTCGATCACCTCAGACCCAGGCCAGGCCAGCCAGCCAGGGCCAGGTGGCGTCAGCCAAGACCATCGTCATCTCTTGCCACCTCCTCGTCGTCGTAGCAGCACCCGGTACAACACCATCCGTCGCACGATCGCCATCAAGGAACCACGATACAAGCAAGAAGAGGATAGAGGGGGACGGCTTTCTTTGCACGCCTGCAGCCACGCAGTGGCAAGGCAGTCTACGCGACCAAGACGAGGGCAGAGGGGGGATACAGCGATGGAGAGCCAAAAGCGGCGAGACGAGGCACAGGGAGAGTGGACGAAGACGTCGACGAGACCGGAGCAAGAAATACAGTAGGAGTAGTCGGTCGGAGTGTGGTCAATAGACGGCGGGAAAGAGAGAGGGAGAGTGAGGACTTGTGAGAGACAGAGAAGGGAGACAGAGGGGTGGGTCGGCCAGAGCCAAGAGGGAAGGCGAGGTCCTCCTCGTGCCTCACTCTCGCGAGCAAGTGCATCACGCATCCACCGGGCAACCGCAGACGAGACACCCAGATCCAAACGGCGTTGGCCGGGCTGGCCCGTCCAGGACCAAGACGAGGTATCAAGTTGGGATTGCTGGCGGAAGCATGGATCAATGCGAGTGAGAGTGATGAGAGCGTCTGAGAGAGGCAGGGAGGCGAGGGACTCGGTCGTCCAGCCCCGTAGGCTGGACGCGGTGCGGGTCCGCTGTCGCGCTTGAAATGGGACAGAGACATGTACAGAGCCCCGCGGCCTCGGATAGGCCAGCAGGGCTCGCAAGGCGGAGCACCCTCGCGCCGCGGCGCGGACGGAGAGGCGCAGCTTGCTGGAAGGCAACGGCTGGCGTAGGCCGTACGGTTGCGGTTGAAGGAGGAGACGGATGGCGAAGAGGAGGAGGAGAGGAATGTCTGACATCCGTCCGTCGATGGCCGAAGAGGGGGATGCTGGTATAATGACAAGGGAAGGTCCATGGTTGCGGCGACGTGGTCTGCATTAGCAGGAGGGATGGACGCCAAAGACTGGCGGTCGCCTCGAGTCCCGGTAGGCCGGCTTAGGCAAGCTTGAGGAAGTAGGGCGAAGGGGCGCCCTCCTCCTCCTCGTAGGCGAGCTTGACGAGCTTGTTGTTGTCCTGGGTGACCTTGGAGATGGTGTAGCTGCCCGAGAAGTCGCCGCTGCCATCGTCCTTGGGCTGGCCGGGGAAGCTGAGGTAGTAGGTGAACTCCTCGCCGTTGCCCGTGGGCTGCTTGGTCAGGACCCAGAACTGGAGCATCTGGCCCGAGTCGTCGGAGCTCGAGCACTTGTCTGCGACGAGGCGCGCGCTGTCGACGGCGAGCTGGCTGGCCGAGACGCAGCGCTTGCCGACAAGGGAGGCGGGCTGGAGGCGGCTGCGAGGTGGAGAGACCGGGCGGACATCGCAGGCGGCAAGGAGGAGCGCGATAGAGGGGCAACATGTCAGTACGGTGTGCGGCGGGCTATGGCAGCGGTGGGCGTGGCCAAAGGTGGCCTCGACCGGCCACCGAGCGCGGCATGGCGCTTACTCACCCAAAGTAGACCTCGGCGGCCTTTGTGTACTCGGTGTCGTAGCCCATGAAGGAGCTCCTGCAGCTGGTGAAGGAGAAGCGCTCCTCGCGGGCGGCGGCGCCGGCCTTGCCGACGTCGAGCTGCTGGAGGCCGTCTGCGTTGCGGATGCCCTCAAAGGCGGCGTTGCTCTCGCGGCCCTTTGCGCTGACGAGCTTGAGGCTGCCAGTGTACATGGGCTCGTTGTCGCACTCGATGGTGGGGACGTCGCGCTCTGCGATGGGCATGGCGAGGTCGTACGCGCCGAGCATGTTGGGGAGGGCCGAGGCCGAGGCCATGGCTCCCATCGAGAGGAGGGCGAGGGTGTTAGAGAAACGCATCGTGGGCTAGCGGTGGACTAGAAGGTGGAGAGGAGGGATGGAGGTGAGGGCGGTGGCGATGGCGGTGGCGTCGGCGGCAAAGGAGGAGACGGTGTCGAGACTGGTGGTGCAAGAGCAATGAGGCTGGCCGAACTCGGGAAGGCAAGGCGAGTGCGAGTGGAGTGCAAGAGAGGTGAGGAGCGAGCGACGGCGACGATGGCCGAGCGAGCAGCCTGGCTTATAACGGGGACGGCGGCGACGACGACGGCCAGGCTCGGGGCGCCGAGAGTCGAGAGTGGGCCGAGTCGAGCGAGAGCGGGAGAGGGGAGGGGGAGAGGAGGAGAGGAGGAGGCAGGGCCGAGGCGGAGCAGAGGCAAGACGCGGTCAGACCCGGCACGTCGGGGCGGGGTCAGGCTGGCCGCTTGCAGCCAGGCAGGTCGTCAGAGAAAGGCAGGCAGGCTGGATGGCAGACATGCATGCAGGCTACGCAACGGCGGCGGGGCGCGGACAGAAAGGCCGAGAGCCTTCGCCAGGCCTGCCTGCCTCAGCTGGCCTGACCCACACTCGCCCAGCCTACGCTAAGGGTCCACGGCGGTCCGACGACGCACGGAGCCTGCAGCATCTCGCCAGGCGCGGCCTCTCCGCCCGTCGCCTCGTGCCCCTGCCCGCCTGCCAGCTTTGGCGCTGTTTCTGACCGCGTTCGGCTGGGCCTGGCCTGCCTGGCCTGGAACACGCATCACCGCGGCCCCCTTCCCCGCCGACCCGCTCATGCCCGCCTGCCGGCTGCCCGCCTGCCTGCTAGCCTGCCTGCCTGCATCGAGCGCCAAGCAGCTCAGCTAGGCTGGGCTCACCAACCAGCTCGACCGGCTGCGACGCAAGGTTGCGCGTTGCAAACCACCACCGGCCGTAGCGCGACGACACCCAGGTGGGGCCGCTGGCAGAACGGCGTTGCCCGGTCGTCGTACCGAAGTTGCGTGGGTGCGTGGGTGCGACCGGAGCTAGGTGTTGGCTGGCGGCCGTCTTCGCAGCATGCTGCCTTGCTTCTAAGAACCACCAGCGCAGCGACTAGGACGAGGATGGCCTTCTTTGCGAGAAATCGCGTGCGTACGTGCGTGCGTGCGCGCTGTACGAGCCCCCTTTTCATATGCCCTCTTGACCTCCCGTCGGGGCGATGCGGTCGTAGAGAGCGGGGCGGGGTCGGACGGAACCTACACAGGTAGCAGCGCTCATTTCGGCAGTCCCTCGAGGCGGCTTCTTCATCAGGCTGCGAAGCCACGAACGGCCCGAATGCATGGCGCTTCGAGAAAAGAGGGGACCGGGACAGCCGGAGACCGGCTCGAAACTCAGCGCGAGATGGCGAGAGCAGAGGCTACGACGGAGAGGGATGCGATGCTCGAGATCCAAGGCGGCGTCAGACGGCGTCAGACGTTGCTCTGCCCTGGACCACCGCCGCCACGGCCGAGGGCAAGGGGGAGGTGGCTGGTTGTCGCCGTCGTCGTCATGACGGCGTGGCCTGACCGCCGGTTGGCTGGGTCCAGATCCGAATCAGGCAAGCCCGCCTTCCTCGCCGTCGTCGCCGTCGTCGTCGTCGTCGTCTGCGCCGCATCTCTGGTTGTCGACGCCCATGCCCTTTGTTCCGTCGTGGTCGCACTCTGCCTGCTGTCGGCTGCTGCCGGGTCTGCTCGACGAGTCAAGCAAAGGCTCGTCGGAAAGGCAGCCCCACGCTCAGGCGCAACGGAAACCCTTGAGCCTATGAATAGGGATCTCGGAATAGGTAGGCGCGAGACCCACTGTACGGATCCCCAGCCGGATGGCATGCCGGTCATCGAGCACCCGCTTTGGTGTTTGTGCTGTGCTGCGCTGCACGCGCAGAGTCCGTCCTTGCTACGGTATCGGCTTGCTCCGATCCCAGGCAGGCTGCTCTGGCAGTGCCGGGCCTGGCAGGGCTGGCATCGTTGGCCTCGAGGTGCGCGCGTCGCAGCCTACGGCCCGCAGCCCATCCAGCCTAGCGCCACGGCCCGCAGCTCGCAAGCTCTGCCTGCCGATGGCACGACTGTGGGCTCGACCGTCGGAGGAAATAGACGCCGCCGCCTCGCTCCAGGGTACGTATCGAACGTCGAGTCCGCGGCCAAGTCCGGGTGTCGTCGTGCGGCCACGCTCCGTCGATCCACCGGCTTCGAAAATTTCGTCAAGCTCCAGGTGTAAGCCTCTCTTCCTGACGAGGTCGAGCGCCTCGTCGCTTGCTTGCTTGTCCGGCTGCTCCAAGCTGTCGCCTCCTCGCTCTGTCTGTCTCAACGATAGTCGTCGTCGTTCGTCATCAACGTTTCAATACTGAGCGCGAAAAGAGTGGCCGGGCCTAGACCCATCTCTCGATGACGAGTCCAACGGGCTCCGTCCGTGCGTTTCGAACCGCGACGCTAGCCCCGCCCCGTCCCGCCGGCGCTCTATACGCAGGCTAGGGTGAAGGCAGAGGCGGACTTCTGCTTTGACTCAAAGTCAGCGGCAGGTAGGGGGAGTAGGAGCGAGCGGTGCCGCCTTCGCAGCCCCGTGACCTTTGCCCATCGAGGCTCGAGGGCGACGGGTGACCAACGAGCAAGTAAAGCAAGCAAGCAAGCTGCTGGCTGCTATGCAAGATGCAGCAGTCCCGTTGTGTGGCGAGACGCTAGAGAGAGGGCTCTTCGATACGAGGTAGGAGAGGCAGGAAGGTAGCTCTGGGTGTCACCGTGTCCACGCCCCAGACATGCCGGCCGACGTCGGTGCGGATGCCTGTAGCCTGCTTCCTCGACCATGCGGCGGCGGCCCCTCGCAGGTCGTGCTTAGCGGTCGTGGTGTTGAATGGCGGCCAGGCAGGAAGGCGCGCGGGCGTCGTGGCACTTCGGCCCGACCCGAGTAGCTGTAGCTGCGCTGTTGGGCCTCTACAGTTCATCCTCGCCTTGCTCTGCCCTCGTCCCTGCCATTGACGAGGCTGCTATTCCTGTCGTCGCTCTAGCATCGCTGCTTGCGACGAGGAGCTCAGCAGGTCGACCTACAGAGTGTACAACATGTCTACTGCAGCTTCCTGGTGAGAGGCGCCGCGCACTGCCGACCGAGATGATCGACATGATCGACCGAGACTAGGCGGCGTCGACGACGGCCTAGTAGTCTAGTGCCGGTCAAGTTACGGTTGTGTGAAATGGCGGGTTGGTGGCGTCCTCTCTCGTCACAAGAGTCGAGTCGAGTCGCGGATGCACGCCGCACTTCTCGAAATCGTCGACTCGTCTGGTGCAGGTCGCGCACCGCAAGAGGCAGGCAGGCGGGCAGTCGGGCAGGCATGGCGCGTGCTGGCACCCTAGCCTCTCCTCCGGTCCGCGTCTGCTCCATCTTCATGCCGAGCTGCTCGCGCCTCGTCGTCCAGCTCGACCGACTGCCTGTTTCGGCCAGATCGACGTTCGTGCCCGCCAAGCTTCGGCTGCACGACGATCCCTTCGCAAGTTGCGAGGCGCGGGCTGGCTCGCTGGCGTGAGTAGTGTCTTGCACCCAGACCGACCCGCGCTGCAGCAGCTAACGTGGAGCTACAGTAAACCTCTGGTTGGCGATGGAGGGATCGTGCCGCGTTGCGTTGCGTTGGCGGGCGCGCGGATGTCGTCGAAGGAATCCGTGCGTCGATTGGCGCGGCGCTAGCGTCGACGAGCAAAGGGGACCAGCAGCCGGTGCGACGGTCGGCCTCGAGACCTCGCTCGCTCGCGACGCGGCCCCTTCCCCGCTTTCCCGCCTCCCTGTGCTCCCTGACCGCCGCCGCTGTCTCAGCACAAGAAAGACACCGCGTACCCCACGCCCCCTTGTCGCTCCTGCGCCCCTTGCACGCGCAGCTGCGGCAAGCATGAGATAGACCCCCGCTCGCTCCCTCGCTCGTTTGGCGCCTCCGCTTGGCCAGCATAGGTAGCATGCCCGCCTTTCCCGCCACGAAGCCTAGCGTGCTGCAGAGGCAGCTAGATGGCCTGCAAAGCAAGCGAAGGCGGGTCATGGTCATCGTGCGTGGCGTCGCGGCTCTAGCTGTCCTACCTCGCAATCGACCTACATATGTGCAGACCTGGAGGATCAGCCGCCACCTTGCTTGCTGCGTTAGCCTGCTTCGTCTCGGGAGCCGTGACGCTACCGTACCAGTGTCGGGTCGAGGACGACCGTGTGCTGTATGTACCGGACGTCGTCGTCCCGCCGACTACTCGCGCATGGTTGGCTGGCGACTTGAAGCAAAAGACGCCGGCGTCTTGTCGGATCTGCGCCCCGCCTCGCTTTGTCCTTCGCCTCTCCTGGATGTGGGCAGCGAGCGAGCGTCGGTGCAGGTCTTGGCACGGTAGACCCCCCGCTGTCATGGTGGATACGTGTGGCAGCGTACATTCGTCAGCTCGTGTGCCGGTATGTAGAGCTGGGCGGCCGCTGCTAGGTAAGGAGGGGGCTCCAGAGATGCATGGCCCGGCCGGCGTAGCTCGGAGGAGCATGCGGACCCTTCGGCCTCGGACGCGTCTCGACAGCCTTCTTGGCGGCTTCAGGCGTTGTCTTTCGGTGCGGCAGGAAATCTGTTCGACCAGCTCGACGACTCGCCAGCCCTTTGTCCCTCCGGCGACGACGATGATTGCCGATGGAGAGGTAAGGACCGTCAAGCAAGCCTCCGTGGAGCATCTCTGAGCGGCTCGCTGTAGACGACGCAAGGAGGCGAGGGGCTGACCTCGCGAGTGCGTACGTCGAGATCAACGGACAGCGCTGCCGTAGTGACGGCGCAGGGGAGCCCTCTTTGCCCTGACCAGCCCGGGTCTACGACGACGGTCGACCATCGCGCTGCCCAGCATCTGCCATTTTGCCCCGCACGCATAGCATGCAAGCAAGCCCGTCGGACAAAGTCCAAGCTCCGACGCCGACACCTGCACGCAATGCCGAACCAGATCCGACGGCGGCAGGGTTTGGCGGCGGTGGCGGCGGTGGTGGTGAGGGCGCCGGGGCAGGGCAGGGCAGGGGCAGCCATCCTGCCTTTTGGTCCGTCTGCTCCCGCAGCCGGAAGCATCCCTACTGGCTGGCCAGGCTGGCTGTCTGTGAGTTGGCTCGGCCATGCTATTCAGACCGCGCCACGCCGTCTGATTGTCTGCGACCTTCCTGCCTTGTCGCGATCCGCCCTTCCGCACTTGGCAGGTCGGCATAGCCTGCACGTCGGTGGATGCGCCGGTGCAAAACCCTCCGATACGGATCGACGCCGCGCCACGCCACGCGCTGTCCTGTCCGCCAGGCAGGCCGGCCGACGGGCAGAGCCAACGCCGAGCACGAAGAAACAAGCAAACAAGCAGGCAGGCCGAGGCGAAGCAGGCAAAGGCGCGCTCCGGTCTTCACCCTGCCAAGTCTGGCCCGGCACATGCCACAAGGGACGACAGGGAGCCATGGCGCCGACCCGCCGATCCCGAGGCAATGCGATGCGATGCCATGCCATGCCGTGCGCTGCGTCGTCGATCCATTCAGTGCGTCCGAGAGAGCTGGGCCGTCGCTGGGCGAGGGTGGGACCGTAGCTCGACGTCTGGGTGTCGTGCCCGTACGGCCAGTCTGCTCGTCGATCTCGCGCAAGCTGTTGGTGGACGTGCGTCTGCAGGAGCGAGAGTCCGCGCCAGGCTTGCTGGAATGGCTTGGCGCCGAGGCACGCGCGCGCCAGAGGAAGAAAGGGTCCAGCCTGGCCCGGCCAGGCGCAAGGGGTCGGGACGTTACGGTCGGTGGGCCATCGTGCCTCTGCGGATGCGCTCAAGGCATTCTTGGACCGCCCGGCCGGGTTGTCAGGTCAGTTTGGCGGGCAAACCGGCGTCTTGGAAGATCCTCGTGCCAGGCGACGAAGACGACGACGACGACAGGTGCGCTGGCCGAGCAGGAGGGGAGGTGGGGTTGGCGGTCGCGCCCAAGATCCTTGAGACTCGAGGCGCCTGCGAGGTTGGCAGGCAGGCGTGCCAGCCGGCCATCCGATCGGGGGCACTGACCCGATACGAAGGTCGCCCAACGTCTTTCGGAGCCGCATCCTCCCAGTCTGCCTTTGCAAGGTGACGTCGAGGAGCAGGCAGGTTTGGCCGCACGTACGCTCCAACGTCATCCATTCAGGCGGGGCGGACGCCATGCCGTACGCGCCTCTGCCGGTCGATGCATGGCGTGGACCGGACCCTTGGGGCCTCTATGCTCCTGCCTAGCCTGCCTCTTCCTCTTTCCGTGCCGTCCTCGACCGCCGCTCCATGGCGCGACCTGGCCTGGCCTCTTTGACCGGGCGCGGTGTAGTCATGGCCAGGCTCAGAGGGCCGCACCATGCCATCATCTGATCACGGTCGCTGTCGCTGTCGCTGGTGGTAGCTTGTCGTGCCTTGGTTGTCCTCGCCTGTCTGCTTCTTTGCTCGTCTTCTTAAGTCGCTCCTGGCTCGCCTGCTCGTCTGTTCATCGCCATCTCAACCACCCCCACCGCCGCCGCCACCGCGCCCTCTTGTTCTCGACCCCGCTCGACCTGACCTCTCGCCGTTCTGACCCCGGCTGCATCACTTGCTGCCACTTTCGCCAACCGCTCCTCTCGCTCACCGCACCCGCTTCCTCCAAGTCAATCGTGGCCACCACCATGTCGACGACCCGCCGCAACGAAGACGTCGATGCGCTCGCGTCGCCCACCAACCCGGCGCACTGGTACGCCTACGCCGCCGCCGGCTACCTCGTGACGCTCTCGATGCCCCTCCTCCTCTTCCCGCGTCTCCTCCTCATCCTCAGCACCCCGCGCGGCGCCGCAGGTCAGGCGGCCATCGGCACCGACGCCGCCCAGGACGCCATCGCCGCCATCGGGCCGGACCTGACCCCGCTGGAGCGCTACAACAGCTACACAAACGCCATCGGCATGATTGCCATGGCCGTCCTCGTCCTCATCCTCACCGGCGCCGTCCCCGTCTCGTCGTCGCCCATCCCCGACGCCAGGAGCAACGGCGCTTCCCCCTTCCGCATGCCCACCCTCGTCGTCACCACCCTCTACTTTGCCGCAAACGCTCTCACCGCCTGGACCCAGGCCGGCAACACCGCCGCCGCCGGCGCCGGCGCGGCAGCAAAGCAGATTGACCCCTCGGAGCTCGGCATCGGCACCTACGGCAAGGTCATCGCCATGTCCCACGCCCTCTTTGCCTTTTGGGGCTTTGCCGTCTTCCTCTTTGGCCAGGACGTCACCCGCAACGCCAAAAAGGGCGGCGACACGAGCGCAAAGGACAAGAGCGTCTCCAACTGGCCCTTTAAGAGTGGGTACCGCGTGCACCGTCCGGCGCCTTGCCTCGCCTCATCGCTCTTGCGCGCGCCGTCGGATAGATGCTGACACCGGTCGGTCCCCCTTGCCTTGACCCTCCCCCGTCTCGCCAGACCAATACGCTGCCGAGGAAAAGTCAAAGAAGAGCAGCTGAACCCGAGGCGCCGCACGTCGCTCCCCTAGCACGCTTTCCGCATCTCCGGCCCGACCGACTGGCTCCGCAACGCGAGCCTTCCTGAATCCGCACGTGCCTCGTGCCGCCACACCGCTGTATTGTTAGCCTTTTGCACCTCCCTCGATGCCGATCGAGGGATTGGCCAAATCCAAAGTCGAAACGTTGCGAGCGCGCAACGACACTGTTCCATGCACTGCGTGGGTGCGCGAGCGGTTGAGAGGGCCTGGCGGTGCGGTAGCAGGTGCAAGCTTCTGAAGGGCAGCGTTTCGTTTTAGGTAGATGTACAGGCGGCCATGGACGTGCGCCGAGGGGTCGTGCAGGCAATTCTCTCAAAGGGCGGTGGGGGGCAGATCACTCCTTGAGCTTCTTTTCCTGCGGCTGTCGAGGCGTGCGAGGAGGACCAGACGGGGGAAAGAGGGGCAATCACGCATGTTGGGGATCGGGAACTGTCAGCATTCGGTACCGGTGCAGGCAGACGTGGACGAGCCGGCTCCCGCACATGGGGCGGGGCATCGATCGGAGACGCTCACCTCGCCGTTGGCAGCCGCAGCGGGCACGCCGAACCTCTCGGCGCGCTTCCGCTTCCTCTCCTCCTCCTCCGGGTCGGCGGGCTTGACCATGCCGAACCGCTCTGCCCGCTTCCGCGCCTTTTCCGCCTCGACTTCCATCGCAGCGAGTCGCGCCGCCTTCTGCTCCTCGGTCTCCTGCGGCTTGGCGGATGCCTTGGTGGCGCCGGCGGCGGCGGAGGCGGCGGAGGCGGCAGCAGCGGGTCGCTCCTTTTTGCCCCTAGTCGACGACGAGCCGAGCGCCTGACCCAGCCTGGCCACGGCCTTTTCCTGGTCCGGGTCGATGCCAAACTTGATGGCGCGCTCCAGCTTGCGCTCCGCCTCGCCCAGGGGCTGTCCAAACTTGGCAGCTCGCGCCTTGCGCTTCTCGAGCTCGTCGATCAGCGCTTGCCGCTTCTCCTCGGCCGTCGGCTCCGGTGCTGCCGGCGTCGCGGCCGCGGCGGCCGAGGCCTGGTCTGCGGTGTTGGAGAGGGCGGCAGCGGCGTCTGCAGAGGGGAGCGCCGCAGCGGATGCGCCGTTGCCGTTGCCGGCGCCAGATACGGTGCTAGCCTGCGTGGCGGTGGCGGCGACGGGTTCGGGCTGGGCAGCGACCATCGCCTGCCCGCCCGCAGCGGCGTCGGTGGATCCGGCGGCAGGCACATTCTGCCCGACCTGGGCGTCGGTTTCGGCCGCGACGCCGTCCGAGGGCGCGAGGTCCGACGACGGCTCGGTCGCAGTGAGGCTGGTGGTCGCCGCCGGGTTCTCGAGCAGGCGCTGGATCAGGTCCGGCTTGTTGCCCGACACGGGCAGGTTGGCCGCCGTCAGCAGCTGCTTGAGCTCCGCCACTTTGAGCGACTGCAGCTTGGACTCCATCGTCGATGGGCGGGCAAAGGGGGGAGGCGTACCGGGGTTGGGTGGACAGAGGGTTGAATGAGAAGGGAGCGGAAGGAGTGAGAGAGAAGCAGGCGTCGGACAGGGGGATGGGTGGACTGGGAAGGTGGTGTGGTGAGGAGTCGACGAGAAGACGGCGAGCGGCGAGGCCAGGCCAGTCTGTCGGCAGGCCTCTGCCCCGCCCCGCCCGGCGCTGCTTGGCAGGCAGGCAGGCAGGCAGGCAGGCAGGCAGGTCTGCCCGTGGCCAATGCGCCCTTAGGCCTGAGCCATCCATCGCGTCGCGGTGCGGTATCAGCCTGCCTAAACTACTATATATAAAGTAAAATGAAGCCCCCTTCACAACCCGTCCCGGCTAGCTCAGTCGGTAGAGCGTCAGACTCTTAGCCAAGAGCCTCTGCGATCGATCGCAGTAACAAATCTGAATGTCGTGGGTTCGAGCCCCACGTTGGGAGATTCCTTTTTAGCCATTTATAAATCTCTCTCCTTGCCAATCTGGCATGAGCCGATGTTGCACAGCCAGCATTCTTTTGCTCGCTCGCTCACTCGTGCGGCCGAGCAGGTGGCCGGCATCGCATGCATGCGCGCGGAGATCAGGTGGAGATGAAGAGTAGTGTCCTTTCGCCGCGCTGAACGGTTGTGATAAGGGGGTTGGGAGTGGGCCCGGGGGAGGGGGTGGGTGAGGGGAGAAGGACCGTCTAAGCGGGTGACGATGATGGAGAGGTGCTAGTTGCTATTCTACAGTGTGCGAGTTGTGGCAGCAGCCGCCTAGGGCCAGGGCCAGGGTCAGGGCCGAGCGGGCGGTCGGGCCCTGACGACGATGAGGATGGGGATGGGGATGGGGATGAAGAGGCTGGCCGGCGCCGATGCCGATGCCGACACCGACGGCGACGCGCGGCTCGAGGGGTCACCGCCGTGCTGGTGCGCTGGTGCTCCTGGATCCGGCCGTGTCCTGGCGGGTGGGTGCGCGGCCTCGGGCGCCGTTGCTTTCGCGGACGAGCTTCGAGGCCTGCCTGCTGAGCTTGCGCATCTCGCCGTCCTTGAGCTTGACGCTAAAGGCGCAGTTGAGGATGTTTTCGGGCGTCAGGTGCGCGTGGGGCGGGTGGAGCAGCATCTGCAGCATCTCTCCGTGGCCCGGCGTCCGCATCAGCGGCTCGCGGATGATGCGGATCACGGCCAGCGCCACCCTCAGCAGCCACGTCGGGCCCTCGAAGAAGAAGATGTCCCAGATCCGGATCAGCGTCGGCCAGGGCACGATGCGCGTAAAGAGGGGCAGGAACCACGAGGGCGTAAACATGATGGGCTCGATGCCGTGCGCGGCGAAGCGCTGCGACAGCTCCGGGTCCATGGTCGAGAGCAGGTTGCTCAGCACCACGCTGTCGACGTGCAGCTGCTTCATGGCCGGCGTATAGTAGCCCTCCATGTGCGGGTCGCGCAGCGCGGCGCACACCAGCCAGAAGGCGTCTTCGGGCGCCATGTGGATCATGGCCAGCCCCGCCAGCAGGCCCATGCCTTGCGTGTAGCCAATGACCGGGTTGAAGTGGACGTACGACTTGAGGATCGCCTCGAGGTCCGCCTTGCCCGTCGCTGACTCTCCCATAAACAGCCGGTGGTCCGGGAAGCTGCGGTCGAGGTCCTTGTCGATGGCGTCGTACAGCGCCTCCTTGCCCTTTTTGCCCTTGGGCGCCAGCGACGTCTTGCACAGCTGCTCAAACAGCCCGGCGCGCCGTCGCACCGAGGCGTTGGCGAGAAACAGCCACGCCTGCCCGCGGATCGACGGCGGGATGCCCTGCCGCACCAGCTTCTTGACCTTGCGGCTCTTCTTGGCCGCGGCAACGTCGTCCTCTTTGAACAGCGCCAACCAGCGGTCGCGCGTCTCTGGGTCGTCGACCTGCGGAGGGGCAGGGGGTCCTCCCTGGAAGACAAAGCCCATCGGGTCAAATGAGATCGGCCCCGAGCCGTGCGTGGCGTGGGTGGGCGTCCGCAGATCCTCGCTGAGCGGGCTGCGCGCGGGGCTCCGGGACGCGGTGGCCACGCTCCTCGCATCGCTGCCTCGCCTGGCCATGTCGATGCTGTTGACCGGGCTGGGCCCGCTGCGGCTGCTCATCGGACTGCCGCTACGCGCCATCGGAGAGAGGCCGTGGAGGCCGCTGCCACCGTGCAGGCCGGGCGTGGGGTTGGAAGGGTTCTTGCGCAGCATGCCGCTGCCGCTGCCCGAATGGATCCGCTCGCGCTCCGACAAGCGATCGGAAGACGCCCGCATAGGGCCGAGGCCGGGAGAACCGGCCGCACCGTGCCGCAGCCGCCCGGCGCCTGGCGACCCCAGGTCCCGCTCCCCGTAGGCAGCGAAGCCTGCCGCCTCGTTGGACCGCATTGCGGGCCCGACGTCGGTGAGGCTGATTTGCATCTTGGACATCGATTGCGATCTCCGCCTGCCGAGCGACTCTGCGAAGCCGGGACGTCGTAGCGAGGCCGAGGAGAGTTCGGATGCTGGCGAGGTGGGAGAGGCCGTCTGGTGGGAAGGAGGGAAGAACGCCGGCTGGGACGGATCGACTGGGGTGACGGGCGAGGTGCTGACCATGCTGGGCGCCGAAATGTTGCCAGCGGAGGGCCTCCTGCGCGGGTCGAATGAGACGGGGCCGAGCCGGGCCGCCGCTGCGCCACTAGGGGCGGCGGCGACGCCATTGTGCTGACCCAGGGGCGGTGACCGGGGCGAGGGCCCGCGCCCCGGCTCGATGTACGAGGTGGGCGGAGAGGTGGGGGAGCTCGAGGCCTCGACCTGGCGGCGCAGGCTCGACGCAAGGTTCGGCGGGCCCATGCCCGGGCTCGGCAGAGGTGGCAGGCGTGGATCCGGGGCTGCGTTGGGTCTGCGCCCCGAGGGCGAGCGCAGCGCTGCGGGGATATCGCCCTGGCCCGGTCGCGCCGTGAGGGGAGCGAGGCTGGGAGATCCCGGCAGTGGTCCGCCGTCATGCCGGCCGGGCACCTTGTGGCCCGCGAGGTGAGGCGAGGGCGGCAGCGGCTCCGTACTCGCTTGGGCGGCGAGCGACTCCGACGACTTGGACGCGGCCAGCCTCGACATGCGCTTCCGGTTGGCGGCGCCGGCTCCACCTCCGCCACCGCCGTTGGCGTAGGCCTCGCGGAAGTCAAAGTTCGGAAAGGCGACGGAATCTCTGCCGTAGACGTCGTAGATCGAGAAGGTGTAGTCGCGGCGGCGGTTGGGTCCCTCATCGTCGGAGTCATCGGTGGCCGAGGTGGTGTAGGTAGAAGAGGCTCGCGAGGTGTCTTCCTGAGAGCTACGCCTAGACGCCTTGGCGGAGGCTGTTGTCGAGACGGCCGCGGCGCCCTCGTGCGACGTACGGGTGATGGGCGATTCGCTCGACGAGATCGGCGACGGCGGCAGATGCGAAGCGCCACCGCCGCCAGACAGGCCGCCATCGCCGTAACCGTGGGCCTTGCCGGGCTGCTGCTGCCGGCTCGAGCCGGCTCTCGGCCTGGATGATGAGCCTACCTCTTGGCTCTGTCTCGCCCACGGCAGCAACGATACAGAGTCGTCCGAATCGTCGGAAGCGGCATCGTCGTGGTCGTCGTCCTCGACAAGAGCGGCCTGGAGCGACTTCATCTTGAGCTGGTGGCCCTCGTCCGAGATCGGCGGCGTCGTGACTCCAGCGTAGCCTCCTCCACCGGCTTTCGTCGCAACGTGCAGACCGTCGGGGGAGCGGACGCGGGAGCTCGGAGACGGCCCGTCACGATCTCCACCGCCCCGCATCGGAGATGATCCTCCGGCTCTGGCGTACTTGGACGACGACGACGAGGCCGACGCCAGCCTGTCGGACGAGTCGACGTGGCCATCGTAGCTCGTCGCCGCAGCCGCGTCGGAGCCGTAGGTCTGGCTCGCCGTCGGCAGTGCGAGCTCTTCGTCCTTTGAATGGACCGGCGAGGACGTGTCGGGGACGCTGCCGACGCCGCTCCTCCTCATCAGGACGGGCTTCTTGAGCCGCCCGTGGAACTGGACGTGTGCGCCCTTGAAGCGGCCAACGACACCTTCGCAATAGCCGAGGAACCACGATGCCGAGTCGTGGGCGCTGCTCGAGGCGCTGCTCTTCCTCCGGGCACCCAGGCTGGTGGGACGGTCGTTTGTGTCGGCGCCGTCCTCGTCGAGCCTGCGGAGGACGATGATCTTTTCGCCAGTCATGAACATTAGATCCTCGGGCTCCGTGGCTGGGTTGTCGATGAGGGCCGTGCAGGACCCGATGCCGCCCTTTTGCAGGGCGAACCGGGTCCAGGCGTTGAGAGTGTGAGCGTCCATCCTAGCGACACCGGCAGCAGAACCAGCCTGTCCCCGCGGCGAGCGCTGAGGTCGGGCGACGAGAGGTGAGGTGAGGTGGCGCGAGGCGAGGCGAGGTCAGATCAGGTGGTTGGTCGTCTCGAGCCTGGCGGCGAGGATCGACGTGGGTGAAAAGGTAGATCGCTGTGAGTGGGCGGGCGGGCAGCGAATGGGCCTATAGCAGCCGTCGACCTGGGGACAAAGCCGTCGAGCGAACAGGGCGGCAGTGCCGAAATGATATCAGAGAGAGAGGGCGGCCGGGCGAGTGTCGGAGGTGCCGAACAGGTCGATGTCATGGACCTATCCTCGAGGGCTGCAGTGAGGGCCAGTCGGCGCGGCGACACGTCGTCCTCGAACCGGAGGACGAGGCGATGACGGCGAGGCAGAGAAAGAAAGAGAGAGAGGGTGAGACCAGCGCCTGGTGGTTGGACGCGGCGATGGACGATGGTGTTGAATCGAGCAATGCCACGCTACTGGTAGGAGTGATCCGAGGGTGAGACGCAGGGTCGGTGACGGTGCCTGGGCCGGTCGCCGGGTCAAGGCGCTGGCTGGGGTCGAGCGCCGAAGAGAGCAAGAGTCGATCTGTCTTTCTGACAGACAAAAGGCAGAGGCGGAAGTGACTGCGACTAGTGGCCGAGTGGGGGCTGTGCCAGGACAGACGGTGACGGGCTACGAGACTGAAAAAAACGAATGGCGGTATCGCGGCGGGGCCGGACGGGTGGTCGGTCGGTCGGTCGTTGGCTACCGGTAAGCAGGATGACGGCAAAGAGAAGAAGTATGATGGTGTTGGTGGCGACAAGCAGGGCGCGCTATTGCTGCGGGCGCGAGAGAAGGAGAACGAGGTCGAATCGATGCAGAGTAGAGTAGGCCAGCTACAGCTAGGGCTGAACAGTTGGCGGTCCAGGAGGAGGAAGGGGCTGGTACTGGCTCGGTCAGTCGGGTCGGACGGGGGGGCCTGGCGGACGGACGGACGGACGGTTGGTTTGGTCGACAGGGTGGGTTTGGCAGGACAGAGAGGCGCAACAGGTAGGCTCGAGGTTGCCTAGGTCGCCGTGGGGCTCGCGGGCTTAGAGAGAAAGTTAAGAGAGAGAGAGAGGCAGGCGGGAAGGCAGGCAGGCAGTGCCCCCCTTTGGTAGGCCAGGTCGGGGCGAGCTGCGTCGGCATGGACGCGGATCAAGGGCAGGGTCGGTCCAGGCAGGGCGGCGCACGCAGCCAGGCAACCCTGGCAACCCCCAATTTTCGACGCCCGACCGACGTACATGCGCTTTCCAGTCCGACGCTCACACACAGGCAGGCAGGCAGGCAGGCAGGCGGGCAGACGGGCATGCCCGCCACGACCTACCGCGCGTCAGCTCAGCCCGCCCCCACTCGACCCAAACCGCCGACCACCTGGCCTCGACCGCCATCATCACCAGCAAGCCTGCGAGCAAGCTAAGCAACCAGGCCGACGTTGTGATGAAGGTCGACGAGGTGGCGAGAGCTTCGAATCAAATCACCCAGCCGTCAGTCTGGCGATGGAAGGAAGGCCTAGCCTGTCTTTGCGCCCGCGCGACCGTCCGACGCCAGCCAAGAAAGCAATCTCAATTCGGCCGCCCTCCCGCGCCATCTGTTGTGTTGCAAAGCCTAGCCTGGCCCGGTCGTTGGACTTGGCTTTCCTCTCGCCCTGCCCTCGCCCACTGACACGCGACACGCACAGAGTAGTCGCCCCCCTGCAAAGGGCCTCCAGAGCTACCGGACCGTAGCAGGCCAGGCCAGTTCCGACTTGCTTGCACCCGGCGTCGCGCTCGTCGAGCTCGGCCAGCTCCGCCTCCGACGAACCCAAACTAACAGCCAGAGAGAGTAGAGTGGGGCACGCCGTCGAGCAGGCAACGAAGAGGTCGGAGAGGTCAGTACTGTAGCCAACAGCCTCGAGTGCTCCCGTCGGGCGGTCGATGGCGTACGTCGAAGACTTCTTTCCTTCGTCGACAGAGAAAGCGGGCTGCCTGCCTGCCTGCCTGGCCCGCCTCTTCGTGGCAACCCGAGCATCGGCAAACATTCCGAGAGGGGGTGCAGCCGATCCGAGCTCTCTCAAACCGCCAGCTCCCGCCCGCCTGGCCAAGCCGCCTTCCCCTAGCCTAGGGTAGCGTAGCCTAGGAGTAGGATGCTTGCCTCTGGCTCCAAAAGGACGCGCCCGTGGCGAACCACGCTCACATACAGATCGAAGGCCTCAGGCTCCCTGCGTTGCGGAATCGGTCGCCTCTGTCGGCGGGAGCCCCTTGAAGCGGACTCTGTTCGAGCCGCTCAGAACCGCCCTCTACAGTATCCCGCCGGCGGGAGCCCCTGTCGTCGTCTCCTCGAACCACATCGCTGGCTTGCCTGCTTCGGCCGGTGCCGGTGCAGACAGACGATCGGAATAGGCACCTTTGCAACGCGGGGACAGCAGAGGTCGAGCTAGCCATGTATCCGAAGCGCCGAAGGTGATGACTGACTACATACTGTAGGTCACTGCAACAAGCGGTATGATCGACCCGCGAGCGAGGCTGTCGATCTGTCAGTGTACTTTCTCGACGCGTCCGCATCGACCAGTTGAGAAGTCATCACCTTCTTAGGTGGCACACGCCCCCTCGTCGACTCGAAATAGAACAGCGGCCCGGGTCGGTGATGGTGTGGGTACGGTAGCTCTGGATCTTCGCCCTCATCCCTCCGTATGCAGGCAGACTCGGCGCGCGGGCTAAAAGGCTAGGCAGGCTAGGCCTGGATCGACCGGGCGAGGCTTTTGCGCTAGTCAAGTGGCCGGCATCGCTCCCGATACTGTACCTCGCTACTACGCTCGATCCTGCACGAGACCAGCCAGCCCTGCCTGCTGCCTGGTCCAGCTGATCTTCGTGGGTGTCGTTGCAGCTGCGCGGGCAGCCTTGAGTTTCGGGATTGGCTGCTGGCGTGCGAGGCATCGCGCTGACCTTGGCTTGGTTGATGCGGGCGCGACGATGCCGCCTGCCAGTCAGGCAGGCAGCCGATGGTCGCCATCGTCGTGGCGCGGGTGACCGGGCGAACCAGAGTCAGGAGGCGGGCTCCCCCGGGCAGTTAGGCTAGGCCAGGACGGGCAGGCCTGCACGGATTGGCGACTTGCAGATGCATGCCGATCTGCTGCGAAGTTTCGCTGGCAGCACGCCGGGCGGCAAGCGAGACCTGCCTGCGCGCCAGCCTGACGCGGCCCGCACGCCCCGTCGCTACCGACGGAAAGGGCGGCCTTGTTGGGAGGCCTGACACCCTGCCTGGCGGTTCGCTCTGGCCACCGCTACCGTCTGGAGCTAGGTTGTTGATCTGAAGATCTCGAGATCGTGGCTGACTTGCCATCCCCGGCGCGCGGGCTGTGCCCGCTTTGCTTGTTTACAAGATGAGCCTGCGTTTTGCCATGCTCGCGGCGGTATCGACCCGCTGGCTCTTTGTCCGCCAAGCCTTTTTCCGCAGCGAGTCGGTGCGGAGATGCGGGCGCGCAGGCAGACACAGAGCGAGGTGGGCCTAGTGGCCTTAACAGCATGCGCGGCGTGCGTGGCGTGCGCGCGGTTTTCAAGCGGGCGTCGGCCTGGTCCGTCGCACAAGCCTTTGATCGCCGAGGGGCGGGACGGACGAGCGGTCCCCCAAACGCAGACCAGCAGGGCCGGCTGCGCTCAGCTTCGTCCGCGTGGTCCCCCGCTTGCCTTCGGCTGATCCCCGCCGTCGGGCGGCTTCAGCATCGCTTTCCGGCCGGTGGCGGAGCTTCGGCGTCGTCGCCAGCACCCTTTGTGGTGGCTTCCACACGCCAAGCCAGCCAGTCAGCCAGGCCTGCCTGGCCTGCCAAGCAGCACGCGCCCCGCTCGCTCGCTCGTCTTGGCACACACACCGGCCACGGGTGCGAGACTCGCTCGCCCTAACCCTCGACGAACCGTCGGCTCCCATTTTCCCCGATCTGTCCTTTCCGCCTCCTGGCATCGTAGGCCTGTGGTCCTGGCGTGGCCAGGCCTGGTTGTCCCTCGGACATGCTTGCCGTGGCTTGCGCGCCCGCTGTCGGCGTCCGGGCGAGAAGACCTGTCTGATCCTGCTTCGGAGGCTGTCGGCGTCGCTCCGAGTTCTCCGCGCAGCGCAGTCGACTGACAGCGGGACCTGGCGGAGCGGCGGGGAAGATGGCACTGGATCCCTGCTCTCGACCGGCAGTCTGCCCGCTTCGGCATCTGCGAGGCTATCCGGACCAGGATGCGCTGCCACAGCATGTTGTGCTGAGCTGTGCTCGATCTGTGCTTCCGTCGGCTCGAGCGGCGGCGGTCGGTTGTCGGAGGTCGGCCAAGGTATCGAAAGAAGCCTCGACCAGAAAAGGCTTCCAGAAATACGAGGTTAATCCGTCAAGGTTGCCTCCATCGCCGTCGACTTCGACGGTCAAACGTCGCTCCGGGCCTCCCTCTCACTCTGACACCTGTTTCTGCCCCCGGCCGAGGCTGACGATGGTATCGACGCTGGCAAGGACGAGGCAGCGGCACTCGACCGACACCGCCGACGAAGCCCTCGGCGGCCTGGGGTGAGGTGTGCAGGCCATGCCAGGGAGGTTGAGGCGTGCGGCACCGATCCGGGATCGGCCATCGGATCGGCGGGAGCACACTCCATCGGGCTCCTTCACAATCGGGGCATGCAGGGTAAGCAGGTCGAGAAGAAAGCTTCGTGGACGAGCTGCGGCTGCGGCTTAACCTGCTTCCACGTCCTCGCTGCTCCGCATCCCTTGCACACTCTCTCGCCTGGACGACGACAGCAACCCTCCGCTTCGTTTCGCACCTCGTCTTCGACCTCGTCATGTCGTCTCGCGCACTTTTTGGAATTGCAAGGTGAGTCCTCGTCTCTCCCCATCCGCCGGCCAACTCCACCTGATCTCGTCCTGATCACTGACTGTCTGCCCTCCTCTCTGCTCGTGCTCTGCATCGACACCTCTTCTGCCGGCAACAGGACAGCGCTCCGCCAGCCATGCCAGTGCCGCACATTCGGCACCTCCTCGCTTGCGCTGGAGCCCAAGAAGCCTTCGATCAAGTCGATCGGCGAGCTGCGTAAGCTCATGCCGGGCACCTCGATGATCAAGGCGCGCGAGGCTCTGCTGGCCAGCCGCGCTGCCTCGTCGCCCGACGACGACGACGTCAACGCTGCCTTGCGCTGGCTCGAGGAGGACCGCAGGAAGAGTGGCGCCAAAAAGGCCGAAAAGGTCGCGGGCCGCAGCGTGCGGGAAGGCGTCGTGGCCGTCTCGGTCCTCTCGGACGGCCTACCCACGCCGCTCGAGGCGAGCAACAAGTCGCAGCTGAAGCCCGAGGCTGTCATGGCGGGCATCGGCGCCACGTCGTCCGCCCAAGGCTCGCTCGTCGAGGTCAACTGCGAGACCGACTTCGTCGCCAGGAACGAGGTCTTCGGACAGCTGGTGCGCGACATTGCCCACACGGCCGCCCTCTTCCCCACGCTCGCCGCGGCATCCGGCAGCGCGACGTCATCGTCGGCCGAAGCCTCGATCGTCGACATCCCCGTCGAGGAGCTGCTCGCCTTCCCGCTGCTCCCCAGCTCGCCCGAGGCGGCAGCCACCGCCGGGGCCCCCAAGACGGTGGCAGCCGCCATCATCGACACCGTCTCTCGCCTTGGCGAAAAGATCAGCATTGCCCGGGCCTGCGCCGTCCAGGGCCCCGCCGTACCCTCGCCATCGGCGCCCCGCCGCTCCGAGACGGGTCGCTCCGAGGGCAGCTCGATCCTGCACCTCGCCTCTGCCTTTGCCCACGGCGGCTCTTCGACCGCATCGACATCCAAGGCGCACACGGCTCCCGGCTACGTCCTGACGACGGGGCGGGTCGCCTCGTTGCTCCTGACCAGGATCGCCAGCCCGACCCTGCCTGCCACGCTGGCCGCCTCGGGCAAGGAGGTGCCGCCGACCATCCAGGACTCGGCGCGTGCGCTCGTCCGCTCGCTGGCGAGGCAGACGGCCGGGATGAATACCAAGAGCATCCGCGATGCCTCGGCTTCGGCTTCGGCTTCGGCTTCGGCCGGCGAGGGCGAGACGGGCGAGCCGAGCGAGGCGCTCTACTCGCAGCCCTTTATGATGCTGCTCCCCACGGCCGCGCCTTCGCCCGAGAGCAACGCGCAGCCGGTGCAGCAGGTGCTGCGCGACTGGGCGGCATCCAAGGGCCTCGAGGCGGCGAGTGCCAACGACGACGGCGGCGTCGTCGTCGAGGTGGTGGGCATGCAGCGGTGGGAGATGGGCGAGACGGCGCAGCCCGAAGAGGACAAGGGCGAGGGCTTTGCCGAAGAGGTCAAGCGGGCCGCCGGTCTCGCCTGATGGTCCCCAGACCCGAAGCCGTTTGCAGGCCGTCGTCGTCGGCCTCCGCTCGCAGGTGTACATTAGCAGCACGATGGTGCGGGCTTGCCCTTGCCGGGCCTGTGTCAAGAGGCACAGACGGAAGATGCTGAATAGACGGAGGCTCGTGCGAGCCTCTCAACCTCCACCTCTCACTTGTCGCTCTCACCACCTCCTTTCTCGTTCAGCCTTCTCGACCACGACGATGCTGCTCCTCCGCACCGCGACCACCCTAAGGCCCACTTCTCTCGTACCTTCCTGCACCTTGCGTTCGCACCTCTGCCTCCCTCCACCGCATCACCGCGCATTCCGGGTGAGGAGCGCTACAAAGATGCCGGTACCGCCCTCGCGACGACCGAGCCAAATCTTTGCCAGCTCGTCATCAGCCCCAACGTCTGCGGGCGGCGATGACTCGGCGGTGATAGTGCTGATCACGACCAACAAGCAGGAAGAGGCGGAGAGCCTGGCCGAATCGATGCGTGCGTCCTACCCCACACTCCCACACGCTCAGACCGTGGGAGCGCCGCGGGGCTGATACTGACGCTACGTCGAGATCGGTCGGTGCGGCGACAGTGCAAAGCGACTTGATCGCCTGCGCCAACCTCGTCCCCAAAGTCACTTCCATGTAGGTCTTCGCCCCACCCCCTCCCACCTTTCGTGCTCTCCGCGATTAGGGCTAGCCCTTTGGCTCAACTCTCCCGCCTCCCTGGGACGGACATGGCACTGCGAGGCGCAGATACAAGTGGCAGGGCAAGGTGGAAAAGGACCAGGAGATCCTCATGGTCTGCAAGGTGCGTCCGTCTTTACCCCTCCTCGGCCCCTCCATCCCTTCTGGAGTGCCACTGTGCAGCTCGGTACTCACCCTTCAAGCCCCCCTCTCTCCTTCTCACCGCCCGCCCGCCTGCCCGCCCACCGGACGCAACACCAAGTAGACGCTGTCGAGCAAGGTGCCGGACCTGACCCGGTTCGTGTGCTCCACCCACTCTTACGACGAACCCGAAGTCATTGCCCTCGACGTGAGTGGCCACCTTCCTCGCTCGACCTCAGAAAGGCAGGCTCTAAGCGCGCTCACCAGGACGACGTCGCGTCCTGCCGCCAACCACCGCTCGGCTTGCAGATCAAGGCCGGTTCCAAAGGCTACCTCGACTGGATCAGGCAGAGCGTCGGTGCTCCCGCCTAGACGCCGTCACGCGGCACAGCAGACGACCACTGACGCACGCACGCAAGCACAGAGGCCAGAGGGCCCTCTTATTGTATCGCATCGCATCGCATCGCATCGCATCGCAGCGTCCTCAACCTCTATTCCTCGGCCGACCAACGACACCCAAGCCCGACGGCACGAGGCGCCCTCTCAGCTGTCGCCGCGAAGGTACTTTTTGTAGACGGGGTTGTGCGTCTCCTCGTGGTACTGGTATCCCAGGTCGACGAGGTACTTTTGGAACGCCGCGTCCTCGTTTGGCGGCACCTGGATGCCCGTGAGCACCTTGCCCACGTCGGAGCCGTGGTTGCGGTAGTGGAAGAGGGTGATGTTCCAACCCTTGTGCAGGCCCACGAGGAACTTGCGCAACGCTCCCGGCCGTTCCGGAAACTCTGCAGGGAAGGGAAGGAGAGCCGCGACGAGCGAGCGCAGAGACAACAATGGGACGAAGTTAGGAGGTTGAGGGTCGAATCAGGAGGTCAGCGGGAACGGACGTAGGGCGCGGCTTGGACGACTCGGCAGCATGGCCGCATCGGAGCGGACGGCGACACTCACCGAAGCGGACCACGCGCTCGTTTTCGACATTCTCTCTCCCGCCCACCAGGTACCGCGCGTGGCTCTTTGCCATCTCGTCGCCGCTGATGTCGAGGGCGCGCATGCCGTCCTGCTCGAGCGTCCGGAGGATGCCCGCGAGCTCCGACGACGATGCATCGGCCAGGCTGTCCGACACCTGCGCCGGATCCTCGGCGGCCGCCTGCGCCGCCGTCGTGCTCTTCGTCACGGCCGCGGGCACGGGCAGCGAGGCCGTCTGCTGCCCCGCCTGTGCCGCCGCCGCGGCGGATGCTGCGGGAGGCGTCCCACTGAGCATGAATGACAGGTAGATGTGCGCCCTCGCGCCGGCATTGTACCGGTAGCTGAACTCGGTGACGTTGCGCGGGTGCAGGTGGCTGTGGAGGCGCAGGAAGCTCCCCGGCTCCTCTGGGATCTCGACCGAGAGGAGCACCTCCTTCTTCTCTCCCAGCTCGGCGCGCTCGGCGACGAAGCGCAGGCGGCCAAAGTTCATGTTGGCGCCCGACACCATGCCGACAAACTTTTTGCCCGAGTTGGCCAGGCCGTGGGTGGCAATGTAGCGCTTCATTCCGGCTACGGCGAGGGCGCCCGCGGGTTCGGGCACCGATCGTGTGTCTTCGAAGATGTCCTTGATGGCGGCGCAGATCTCGTCGTTGGAGACGCGGACGACGCCGTCGACCTCTTGCTGGCAGATGCGGAAGCACTCCTCGCCCACGACGCGCACCGCCGTCCCGTCGCTAAATAGGCCGACCTCGTCGAGCGTGACGCGGTGGCCCTTTTCGAGCGATTGGGCGAGGGCGTCGCCGTCGTAGGTCTCGACGCCAATCACCTTGACGTGGGGCGGGGCGATGCGCTTGATGTAGGCGGCGACGCCCGCCAGCAGGCCGCCTCCGCCGACGCAGCAGAAGATGGCGTCGACCTTGTTCATGTCGGTCTGCCTGCAGATCTCGACGCCGATGGTGCCCTGGCCGGCAATGACCTTGGGGTGGTCAAAGGGCGGGATGATTTTGAGGCCGTGGGCCTCGGCGAGGCGGGTGCACTCTGCCTTGGCCTCGTCAAAGTCCTGCCCGTGGAGGACGACTTTTGCGCCGAGGCGCTTGACGTTCTGGGTCTTGATCGAGGGTGTGCCCTGGGGCATGACGATGGTGCAGGGGATGTGGAGATGGGCGCCGGCCATGGCGACGCCCTGTGCGTGGTTGCCGGCGCTGCAGGCGATGACGCCCTTCCACTTTTGTTCGTCGTCGAGCTGTCGCATCATGTTGAAGGCGCCGCGCAGCTTGAAGCTGAATACGGGCTGTAGGTCCTCGCGCTTGAGGAGGATCTCGCAGCCCGTCTTTGCCGAGAGGTTGACGCCCGGCTGGAGCGGCGTCTGCTTGACCAGGTCGTAGACATCTGCGCTGAGGATGAGGCGGAGGTAGTCGGGCGTGCCGTCTGGCTGGAGCAGGTGCGGGGGTAGGTCAGAGTAGAGGTGGGTGGGGAGGGACGGCTTGCCAGCGTGCGAGGGCGATGGAGGCCTTGTGGCCGCGGCGAGGTTCTCTGTGAGGGCCTTGCCCGATGGGAACGGCCCGGCCAGGTAGGCGGGCGGCAGGGATGAAGAGGCCATTGCGTGGCCAGCGTCGTGGGCGGTCGGAAGGATGCAAGGGACAAGTGCTGGTGGTGGTGGCCGCTGTGACGATCAAGCAAGCTCGAAGAGGAGGTGGTTGTGGTGGTGGTCGTAGTAGTACGATGGGATGTGCTCCGAGTCACCTGCGGAGAAGGGCCCCGCCGTTGCTGCAGTCTTGCATGCCGTGGCGTAGCGTTGCGGTGCGGTGCGGTGCGGTGCGGTGCGGTGCGGCTTCTTCTGATCTTCTGGCCCTGCTGCTGACGTAAGCCACTTTTTGGCAACGCACGGAATTTTGAGCTCGAAAGGGGTCCCCTTTCTTCGCGGCCAACCCTCCTCCCTCTCCCTCCCCCTCACCCTTCCCCACCCTCATCCTCTCCCTCCCTTCCCTTCCCTCGATACCCTTGTCGCCCGTATCGCCGGCCATCTCGCCAGCACGCAGCGGAAACAACATGGGGAGGAACAGCCGCAAGGAGGACCGCCAGAGCCGCAAGCGCACAAAAATCGGCCTCGACCAGACAAAGGCCAGCGGCCAGAAGTCGTCCAACGCAGCCTTTGCGCCCCCCGTCTTTGCAAAGGGCCAGTTTGCCAGCCTCGCCAACAAGGGAAAGGCAAGGTCAAACAAGCAGGCGACCACCGCGACCAACGGCGGCAGCAATGCCAGCGACATCGTAGAGGCCGACATGGCCGAGGATGACGCCCTCGCCTCGCCCGCGTCGTCCCCCGCCACGAGGGTCTCAAACGCCTCCCTCAACCGCCATGGCATCCAGTCCGTCGATCACGCCGACGTCGGCATCCTCGAAGATGCCAACCCTGCGCTGCAGTCGGCTTGGGACGATTTCGGCGCAAAGGCACGCCTCGACGACACCCTCACCGGCCGCAGGGACTCGAGCCTCAAGGCCTACATGAAGGAGCTCCGCAAGCTCGTCGAAAACGCAGACGTCCTCCTCGAAGTGCTCGACGCCCGAGACCCCATGGGATGCCGATCTCTCGAAACGGAGCGCATGCTCATGCGCGCCGGCAAAAAGGTCGTCCTCATCCTCAACAAGATCGACCTCGTCCCAAAGAGCAATGTCGAGGCATGGCTCCGCTACCTCCGCCACGACTTCCCCACGCTCGCATTCAAGGCCAGCACCCAGTCCCAGCGCAGCAACCTCTCCCAGGGCGCTGCGGCCTTCTACTCCGGTGGTGGCGGCGGCAGCGGCAAGGCGTCGTCCTCGTCGGGATCGGCCTCGGCGGGCAAGGACGTTATCACGGGCGGCGCAGAGGCCATGGGAGCCGGCGCCCTCCTCCAGCTCATCAAAAACTACAGCCGCAACCTGAACCTCAAGACCAGCATCACCGTCGGCATCTTTGGCGCTCCCAACGTCGGCAAGTCGAGCTTGATCAACAGTCTCAAGCGGGCGCGCGTCTGCAGCGTCGCCTCGACGCCTGGCCACACCAAGGTGGTGCAGGGCGTCATGCTCGACAAGAGCGTCCGCCTGCTCGACTGCCCGGGCATCGTCTTCTCCGACGAGACCGGCGGCGCCACCAGCGGGCTCAGCGCCGAGGAGATTGTCATGCGCAAGCAGTCGGCGCTGCTGCGCAACGTTGTCAAGGTCGAGCTCGTCGAAGACCCCGTCACGCCCGTCGAGGCAATCATGGCGCGGGTCGAGGACCAGGAGCTGGCCGACGTCTACGGCCTCGAGTTCTTCCAGTCTGGCGACGCTCAGGACTTTTTAATGCGCCTCGCCATCCAGCGTGGGCGGATGCTGAGGGGCGGCAAGATCGACATTGAAGGCACCGCGCGGACGGTGCTGCATGACTGGAATGTCGGCAGGATCAAATACTTTACGCAGCCGCCGGCGCTGCACCGATCCGCCATCCTCTCTGCGGACAACGGGCGGCAGGCGGCCGGCAATGCTCACGCTGCAACCTCCGCCGCGGATGCTGCGGTTGCGGCAATGGAGGACGGCGACCAGGAGTCGGAGAGGGCCAAGCAGCAGCTCGCCGAGAGCACGACGATCGTCTCCGGCTTTAGCGAGGCGTTTGACCTGGCCGGTCTCCTCGGCGAGGCCGACGCCGAGATCTTTGGCACGGGTACGGGCACGAGCACCGCTGCCGTGCCTGAGCCACCAAAGGCCCGATTTGCCACGCAAGAGGAGCTGGCGGCAGCGGACGGGCAAGGCGCAGAAGACGCGGCGGCGGAGGAGATTGTCGACGACCACGGCGGTGCTGTTGGCGACGTCTCCAACGTGTCGACGCTCGGCAAGAGGCGACGGGCCTTTGACGACGAGGGCGGTGCCGACGACAGCGAGTCGGACGACGACGATGACGACGAGGACGGTGACGATGAGCAAGGGATGCGACGCCGTCGACCCGTGCGTCGGACGGCCCCTGGCAACGTCCCCGGGCTCTCTCAGATGGATGACGACGGCGACGACGACGACGACCTCGTCAGTGCAGGTCAGGCGGTCGCAGAGGACGGTGCGCGTGGTCGCTCGGGCAACGCGGGCGCCCCCTCTGCGGCCTTTACGTTCCAGGCGAGCCCCACGGCAGCAGGGCAGGCTGGAGGACCGGCGTGGCTGGACCGGCAACAGGCCAAGGCGGCGGCGGCGTCGGGCCGATCGAAGCGCAACGAGGAGCTGTCGACGATGTTTTCGAGCCAGGAGCTCGAGGGACTGGCGGCGTCGCGGGGCTCGCAGAACCGCAAGATGAAGAAGATGAAGAAAAAGGCGGAACGGGCGGGCGCGGGCCTCGTCGGCGCTCTCGAGGCGAGCATGGACCTGGGCACCGTCGTCGGCAACGGCGCGGCGCAGAGCAAGAAGAAGCAGAATGGGGCCAACGGGCAGCGGGCCAAGCCGCAGCAGAGGGGGAGGTTTGCAGCGCTCATGCAGGACGGCGACGAAGACGATGACGACGACGACGACGACGACGACGACGAGGCAAACGGGGCCGGCATGCGGGACGAAAGGGCTGCTGGCTCGCTCGTCGTCGTCGAGGAGGAGGTCGACATGGGTGCGGCTCCCGCTGCGGCGCACTCCGCCACGCCGGCCGTCGTCGCCGCGACGATTGAGGAAGACGAGGAGGAGCTCTGATGCGTCGTTGGCGTTGGCGCCTGTGGCTCGCTGCTCGTCGATCCCCACCCCACAACTGCCTCCTTTTTGCATACTCAGCATCCGCTCCACCGCATCGCATAGCATATCCGGCGTCTGTCACCTGCCATTCGCCATCCTAGACTTTCCTCGAGAATGACGAGGTTCCCAGGCCAACCTCGAGAGAGAGAGAGAGAGGCTGGCTGGCTGAGATGGACGCCGGGCCGTCGGAGCCGAGGGCGACACTTGAATTTCTTCTCAACTTTTTTTCCCCGGGGCGGGGCCAGGGGGGGCAGGGAAGGGGGGCAGGCGCAGGCGCAGGCGCAGGCGCAGAGGCTGCCAAGAGAGCTGTCCGTTCGTTGCGCCCGGCTCTTCTCCACACGCACGCCAGCCTGCCTCTTCCTCGCGACTTCCACCTTTGCCCTCGTTCTCTCCCCTCTGGACAGCAGTTCATACACTCCCCCCTCGACAGGAGCATCCCACCTCGTCCGCTTCCAAGAACGCCTTGCTGACTTGATCCATCGCCACCTCGCTCCTTGGCCCCTCCTCACAAATCAGCACCACCCCTTACCACCACCAACACACCAGCACCATGGCTCGCGGCGGTGGAGGAGGTCGAGGCCGTGGCGGCGGTCGCGGTCGCGGCGGCGGTAGGGGACGCGGCGGCCATCGCGGAGGCAGGGGTGGAGGCGGAGGAAACGCAAACGGTCAGCGCCAGAACTACGCCGCCATCGCCATGCGCAACCCCAGGCTCGAGGCCTACTACCTCGACCAGGGCATCGTCGATCCGAGCGAGTGGGGCGCCTTTATGGAGGCCCTCCGCACCCCGCTCCCGTCCACCTTCCGCATCACGGCCGGAAAACACACCACCTCCCAGCTCATCAAGGCCATGAAGGAGATCTACGTCCCCTTCCTCGAAAACGTCACCTACGAGGGCGAGACCGTCGAGCCCCCAAAGAACCTCCCCTGGTACCCCGAGCAGCTCGGCTGGCACATCAAGCCAAAGAAGGCCGCACTCCGCAAGGTGCCCGAGCTCAAGCGCTTCCACCACTTCCTCGTCCACGAGACCGACATCGGCTCCATCTCGAGGCAGGAGGCCGTTTCCATGCTGCCCCCGCTCTTCCTCGACGTGCAGCCCCACCACCTCGTCCTCGACATGTGTGCCGCTCCCGGCTCCAAGACGGCCCAGCTGATCGAGGCGCTCCACTCGCCCATCAGCACCTCGCCCGACTCGTACGAGCCCATGCCCGCCGGCCTCGTCGTCGCAAACGACTCGGACGCCGTCCGCGCCCACCTCCTCGTCCACCAGGCCCAGCGCCTTCCCAGCCCCAACCTCATCGTCACCAACCTCGACGCCAGCAAGTTCCCCAACGTCAACGTGCCCTGGAAGGCCGCCGACGAGGGCGCAAAGGTCCAGCAGGTCGCCATGCGCTTCGACCGCGTCCTCGCCGACGTCCCCTGCTCCGGGGACGGCACCGTGCGCAAAAACATGCCCATCTGGAAGGAGTGGACGCCCAACAACGCCGTCGGCCTCCACTCGCTCCAGCTCAAGATCCTCATGAAGGGCCTCAACCTGCTGCGCGACGGCGGACGCCTGGTCTACTCGACCTGCTCGATGAACCCCATCGAAAACGAGGCCGTCGTCGCAGAGGCCCTCCGCCTCTCCAAGGGCAAGGTCAAGATCGTCGACTGCAGCGGCCAGATGCCCGAGCTCATCCGCAGAAAGGGCATGACGACGTGGAAGGCCGCCCCGGGCAAGGGCGCCCACCTCTTTGGCAAGTCCAAGGACGTCCTGGCCAAGCAGGCCGCCAAGGCCGCCGAGGCCACCGAAGCCGCTGCTTCTACGTCTGCCTCGACGTCGGCGGCTAAAGGCGAGGGTGAGGGCGAGGTCGAGGTCGAGGTCGAGGGCCAAGCCCAGGGTGAAGAGTCGAACGGCGCGGAAGGCGAGGCCGACGCCGAGGCCGCCGGCGAACCGGAGCCGACGCCCGGCTCGCCCGAGTACCGCGACAAGCTGCCCGAGATTGCGTGGATCGACAACTGGGACCAGCTCAAGGAGCTCGACCCGAGCCTGGCCTCGACGACGCCCAGGTCGCTGTGGCCCGCCGGCGACGAGGAGGAGCTGGGCCTGCAGCACTGCATGCGCCTCTACCCGCACCTCCAGGACACCGGAGGCTTCTTTGTCACGGTGCTCGAAAAGGTGGGCGAGCGCGAGCACGAGGGCATGGCCGCCGGCATGATCCGCGCCATGGACGAGATGGACGCCAGCGCCGCCCA